ACAATAGAGAGTCGAATAATAACTAGGTAGGTGAGGTTTTGGTTTCGTTAACGCGATGATTACGTGAGTAGAGTTCCTCGACGAAGAAGTAACAAAGATCAGCGATATCCATTCAACACCAATGGCATTAAGCAAGCATCCTAAAACTTCGAATCTTCCTTGGCTGTTTGCGCAATACCGACGTAACACTTAAACATAATCCGTCAGTAGAAACGGGCAAAAAAATTGTGCAGGACACGCCAAGACAAAGCATCGCTCAAAAGCCAAATTTGAACAGTGAAAGTGGTGTACGTTCACAACCTCATCATCAATTTTAATTTACGGCTAGTGGTACGAAAAGGCTTGCCGGATGTGCTCAGCCAAGCACACTCCTCCACTATCTACACAGGGGACCCACAGTGGATGGTAAAGTGCATCATCGGCAGCTGGAAGACAAGTAGGTAAAGTACATTACAGCTCGCAAGAGCAGCAAGCAAGTAGGCTTAACCCAGATACGTCCACAACTATGTTTAGTAAAGTAGGAAATTTCCTTTATCGATAATCTTAACAAAGGTACAAATGGAAGGCCATTCCCACGAAGTGATAGACGGAAGCGTGATAGATGAAATCGGATAAAACAAAGCTCACTCATTCCTCAAGATTCGGCGTCTGAAAACATAACCCAGCACATTCCCGCACAGTCTGTGATAACACTTACATTGTTTGTCAATTTGTGCAGAACGTCGATCAGATTTGGATGAGCAGCTATCTCTAGGTAGAGTATCAGGGAGCAGTGGACCTCCGTTATTTACAACCGGCAAGTCGTGAGGAAACCGACGTTGACAAGCATTTGCAGAATGTTGTCGGAGAGTAAGTGCCGCCTCGCCTCGAGGCAATGAGGGGCTGGAAGATCGAGAAATGGACGGTTGAGGATCGCCACTTGGCACTTGAACAGAGGATGAAGCCACCAAAAGCGGACTTCGAGTAGAATGCGAGGCAAGAATAGTTGCTAGTTTCGGTGGCATAATTGCGTGAGCCTAAGGGTTAAATTGGTACAAATTGATAGAAAACCACATCTACAATCTTTTAACCAAATGCGAGATCAGTAAATTAAAAATTACCAAAGGAGAGAGGGGAGAGAGCCGTCCAGCTTCGCCAGCAGGAGAGTTCTGATGAGTCTAAATTCTAATGTTAACCTAGATACCCTTACCTGGTCGTCATGTGCAGGAACCCTGCCCGAAGGGACCTTAGATTGTAAATCAGCATCTCCCTCACAAGACGCATGATTCTCTAAGCTAATGGCGTTATGTGTGGACGAAGCTAAGGACGAGCTAGTCTTCACTCCCTCAAATGAATCCCTCACATTTCCAGAAACACGTTGAGGCGACCCATGGCCTACATCGCGAGAGAATTCTAGTTTGAATGAGTATACTGCAGCCTTACCCGAATGGTCAACTTTCCTTGGCGAAACCAGATGTAAGTTGTGTTGTTCTATGTGAGAATATGAACTTCCCTCAACCTTGGTTCGATCAGAACCACCTTTACTCCCCGTGTACCTTTGACGCTTTGGGGAAGAGGCACCGTCTTGCAACCGGGACTGTACTCTTTCCACTTGACTTAGCGTAGAGTATGAACGCTTAACGGTTTGACCTTTTACATTAAAAACAATAAAACGAAATACCTTCACTCTGCCGATCACAAATAAACTTATGAAGCTCACTTTGAGTCATATCGGGAAGTGTCCATTCAAGAGGCTTTTGCCACTGAGATACCTCCGTTATACAATTGTAGAAATACACCTTTCCCTTTGAACTAAGCTGTTCAGACCAGTTTCCACACACACGCAACGTATTTTTCTGCCACTGGAAGAAAATAAACCATGAGAACAGACGCACCTCTGGTTTACCACGAGTTACGGAGGTCTGCTTGGGTTGATCATGATCATTTGGTGGTATTCTGCTCGCAATAATCGTCGTCGAATGACTAGAAGAGGCTATAAACACAAGTAACGGACGAGAATGCGAGCAAACTTTTCATAGTTCCCAACAGCCAGGCAGTTATACCGAGCGCGCAAGCCCCAGCCGTGTTTTGTCAGTCTTAGATCAGTAGCAGGCAACCTTCTTATCACCGTATAAGTGAATGTAAGGCTTTGAAAGTCTGGTCTATGCAAACCAAAAAGCTTCAATGGATAACATGGAAACAAACGTCCCATAAGCGAAGACGCGAATAATCAAACCGAAGAGCCATGTTTGAAGAATATGCTACAAATGGCGCGAACAAACAACTGATTAAATATCACAAAAATTTGGACTTCATTAGTGCGGTTATAGTATGTTTTGTTTATACAGCTTTTGTGCGTTACTGACATCTTAAAGGACAGAACAAAATATATATTTTTGAAATTTCGGTCACGCTAACATATCGTTCATAGTCGACCATGAATCTGTAAATTGTATTGTGATATACTCGTAGCAAAATAAGCTAGAAATGCATACTAGTTGGAATGCTTTATTGGCTTGATCTGCTACATTTTTGCATTACATTTATTTGACTTCATAATGGATTTAAGCTTCTTCGCAAATAGGTTTAAAATTTATTATTGTTTCGTTCGGCTAAAGTCTTTATGATCAAGCTCCACGACCTCTCACCTGATAGGTGGGGGTATTGAGTTTGGCTACATCTGTCATAGTAGGGTAATAAAGGATTGGGAATTTGCTTGGCCCTAAGGCCATACCACGATCACTGGAGGAAGACGAATGCCAAAGTATCCATCAGACATCAGGTGGTCGCTTTGACAAAGCATTATAGTTTATCCGTGGTCATCCGTTTAATTCAGCCTTATTTTCGCTAGCAGATGAACCTCCGTTTATGCGTATTCTTCACTCAGTACTCCCTCAATCCCGTCAATATACGCTTCGCTTTGGTAAGAGCATTCTTCTCACCTTCAGGCATTTAATTTTGGTTTCTCAGCATTAAATTTCAAACTTCCTTGCACCGCCTTGTACATTTTGAATAATAGTGTTCGAATCAGCATGATGACTGATCAAATCAGAATTTTCGCCTAGGATGTAGCGTCACTAGGCTTTTTTTCAGGGACAACTAATCGCTCCTCAGGTTTTCGTGGTAAACGTTGGGGTGCTCTATCGTCTCGCTTTCTCTCCACCCTTGTAAGTGTGGACAGTAACCTTCCGTAGACGTATGACTGTTCAAGTTATTGACAAGTCTCTATGTGAGCAACCTTTGTGGCTGTTTGCTTGGAGGGTTGTCATTTGTGCTTTAGTGTATGTTTGATTCCATGTAACAGAATCGAGACTTAGCTTCAAACTCATCCGTTTAGATACAAGGTGGTGCTGTGCATTGTGTGGCCGTTAAGGTATTCCTTGACAGTTTTGCAGTAGTAAGAATTGTTTTTCCTTCCTCACCACAGATAATTTAGAAAACTTCGTCAGTGGCACAACAGACTGTAATTCTTTCCAACTTTTTTCACATCCGATGACCTGACACTCATCACCCATAAATTACCCTCTTTCGTTCGGGACAACTCATGAGAATCCAAAATGACTTCACACAGGTGTAGTTGCTCGAACAATCAAATTTGTACAAATATGTGAACAGCAGAACATTATTCATTCTGAGACAAGACATATAAAGTTGAATTTGGGAATGCGTCCATTCACCCTTAGGCCGTTATTTGTTAAGTGTCTGAATCAGCTCTGCGTTGATGCACCATTTCTGTAAGCTGCCGACGATTAGGCAGGCGTAAGCGGAAAGAGGGAAGCGGAGGAGAAAGTGGTGAATTTACCAGTAATTGGAATGTACACTAAATTGCTTTGGATTGAGATGATACTGGAATGCCCTGGTACCAAGCTGTGTGGATAAACGGGTTCAAACCATTTAGAGCCCAACCGCCTAGATGCATACTTCTGCTATCAGTAATTCTCTGTGATGCCCGTAGAGTACCAAAATACCAGTTCTTAGCCCAATAAG